ACATTTCCTGAAGAATGAAAAGAGTCTGAGATATGTGCTACTTGGGGGAAAATGTTTTTGCAATAATTAATGCACAATATTGGTATTAGTATTATTTTTATGGATATGCAGATCTTAATGGTGAATGGTTGTCAGTAAGGGTAAGATGTCCTTAATATTAAGATCATATCATGATATGAGGATATATATACACTTGCATATTTTTATCAGACGTACATACTATATACTTTCCATGATACTCTAGATTTACAGGTAATTCATTAATGTACATATCAAGAGACAAAGAAAACTAATCATCTTTTTATCATAAATGTCAAGGAAGTGGTTGTTCGGAAGCAGTTTAATAAGTGGGTAATAATTCTGTCTATTGTTTCTAATACATACTGTGTCCTAAATCAGTGGGTTAAGTGATGTCCTGGAAGCCTGTTGTCTTACTGTGGAAAATGTAGATGGCTTTTGAGACCTTCACCCACTGTATTGCTTATGATAACCTCTTACTTATTAGACAAGCAGCAGTATGGAAGATTAAAAAGACTGCAGTTATCCAAGTGGATATGTATATGTGTGTGTGTGCATAGGTGTATGTGTCTGTTTGTGTCGGTGTGTTTACATACATGTATTTATGTTTATAACAACTTACATGTAGATAAGATTATCCCCAGAAGGATCAAGGCTCAAGGCAACTTGAGTCACTACACGCACCAAGAAAATACTGATACATATACTATATATTATATAAAATAGGAAATCAAAAATAAAGTATTTATTATATTTTAATTGTTTATATAGGTATTGATGTGCACATTGGGTTTAGGAGACAGTTTTGAAGTGAGAGGACCCATGTTATCATACCCCCTAAATTGAATAATTCAGTGTAAAACAATTGTAGTCCTTATTTTGATTAGGCTGTCATTGCACATATCCACTTTGAAGATGGAGTGATAAAGGAACAGTATTACTTGCTCTATCAGGCTAATGTAGTTCTAGGTATTGGTGAAATGTTATTAAAAATATTTGTAGTAGCACAAAGTCAATACACATTGCTCCTTTTCTTTGAGAAGGAAGTGATAGCAATTGAATACTTCATTTTATGATAATATAAATCTCAGATTACAGGGAAATGTATATATATTTTTTTTTCTGGGGAAGGCCCCCATTGCCTCCTGCTATAATAGTTCCCTCCTGACCTAAAATTTTGGCTTGCCTGACTCCCCTGTCTGTTCATGAGTCCAAATATCTTACAGTCCCAGCTTTTTTAGGACCCCCTACTTGCAACACAGCACAGAAATAAGAAATTCACAAACAGCAAAACGAAAATCAATATTTTGAAATAAAACTTTTTCAATAGGGAGATCATATCTTGAGCTATTTATATCCTTCATTAAACTGACTGGGCATTGTGAACAATAATGAACAAAAGTAAGTAATTAAATGCATGTATAGTGTCAGTTAGAAATTGAAAACATTATACACCTACATGTGAATCGACTCTTACCTAAGACAAATTATCTGTAAGCAGTCTCCATAAAAGTATATGATTATTTTGGTAGACTAATGTTAATGTCAGTCATATAAATACTCATTTGGTGCTTTTTTCTCTCATTTCTTTTCTTTCTTCTTCTCTTCTTAACTCCCCCCATCCTTCCTTCTTCTTCAAAAGTGGAGGCATCATTTCAGGATCATTGTGAAACTAACAGGACCTATCCCTCACCCCCAGAATTAACCAGTGGTAGAAAATAATTATACAAATGAAACATGATTGTAGTAAGGATAAGTCTGTTAAGAAGCAGATTTAAATACATTATAATAGAAACAGTAGACATACAATATATATGTATGTGTCTGTGTCCGTGTGTGTACATACGTACGTATGTGTGCCTGTGTGTGCGTGTGCGTGTACGTGTGCATGTGCATGTGCATGCGTGTGTGTGTGTGTGTGTGTGTGTGTGTGTGTGTGTGTGTGTGTGTGTGTGTGTGTGTGTGTGTGTGTGTGTGTGTGTGTGTGTGTGTGTGTGTGTGTGTGTGCACATGCACATGTGAGCCCTATGCATGGGTATTCAACATAGAGGCTAGACTTAGATATGCATATGTGCAGTAGAACTAGGAGAGATAGTTATGCATTTTCTAATATTTAGCTAGAAAAGATCAATATTTTTGTTAACATTTAGATTCATGGCAATGTATTATGAGACATTAATAAATCAGTGCCATTTATGAAAGTATAGAGTTGATTTGATACAATCCAGAGGATTTTGCTTCAGTAGTAAGATTTGAGAGTGATGAAGTTAAGATTAACTAGTTAACATATAATGTCTCGGCTTGCTGCCTGCCCTGGCATCATATCCCAGGATGAAAGAATGTCTGTCATAAAAGTAATGCCTCTTATTAATATACATAATAGTAACATGATAATAACATAATGTGTTGACCGTATTCAAAGCAGCATAAAACCTAAAATATTTGTAAATAATGTGGCTTTGCACATCAAAGGTAACGGAATTGAAACCGTAAATATATATATATATATATATATATATATATATATATATATATATATATATATATATATATATATATATGTATGTGTATGTATATGTATATGTATATGTATATGTATATGTATATGTATATGTATATGTATATGTATATGTATATGTATATGTATATGTATATGTATATGTATATGTATATGTATATGTATATGTATATATATATATATATATATATATATATATATATATATATATATATATATATATGTATATATATATGTATGTATATATATATATGTATATATATATGTATATATGTATATATGTATATATGTATATATGTATATATAGAGATATATAGAGATATATACATATATACATATATATATATACATATATATATATATATATACATATACATATACATATACATACATATATATATATATATATATATATATATATATATATATATATATATATATATATATATATATATATATATATATATATATATATGTATGTATGTATGTGATTATGTCTTTTTGAAGTTCTTATATATTCACAGAATATATTTTCTGTGCATTGCAGCAAATCTCTTTGATGTGGCAATACAATGCAATGGTCAACACTCCATGGATGGATTCCAGAAAGATATTGTTAGAGTTTTGTAATCAGGAGAAGAACAGCTAGTAACCCATTCATTGAAAAGCATTACCATTTTCCTGTAGTTGAATGCTGTGGCTTAGTTGAATTTGACAATAAAAACTGGACTTTGATATATTAGAGAGAGTGTACATTCATCTCCACTTTTAAACACAGTTGCATAGAAAGAAAAAATATCACCATCATTTAGATCACCAACCAGCTACTCTGCCAATTAGTTAATTATATAACACATAAGCTAATCAAGTTATTCCTCTATGATATCCCAAGTATTGAAAATGTTTTTGTTTTTGTTTTTTAGTTATAATTATCACATCTTTATATAGCTGTTTTTACAGGATATGTATGCAGAACTTTTACTCTCTTTATGATATGTGTAGATATTAACCACTATGTAATTACTTCATCTGCACAGACGTTTGGGGCAAATACTTTTTGCATAAAAAATGTACATTTCAACATAGCACCTAAGTCTGAAAACTGCCACTTTTATTGATACAAGTTGTGCCTCACCATAAGTTTGTTTGTACTTGTATACAAAGGTATAGATTAAGGGAATAGGGGCGGAGTATGATAGCAATTATTCATTTACTAGTATTTTATAGTACAGAGCAATGTGATGAATTTAGGATGCTAGAAAATGAGGGTAGAGCATAGAACTCTATAGAACATCTTGATAGTTGTATTGATTTGTTATAATTTAGTACAATGACATTTAGAAAAAAAAACATATGTTATGTAAAAGAGTTGTAAAAGTCTTGTAAACATAGAACTACAGACTTAGCTTAGAATTCATGGTATTTTCAGGAATACTACATAGTTAACAAAGAATGGAAATGAAATGTTGCAACATACTTACATTAAAAAGCTGTGTAAATGTGCAAACCTTCAACTTATATTCTTCCATTACCTGTTATAATACTGTTTCTGACATTGTCATTTCTTGTGAAGTTGTTATATGATGAGCATATTGATTGAACACTGGCTCAGTCCAACTGTTGTACAGGCATGTGATCTGTGTAAATAAATGTTAAACAGTGCTCCTATTTTTTAACCTGCACATCACAAGAAAGTTAAATGAATATAGTAAGCTTACATTACTATTTAGTTTAATACTTTGTCACTAAGGTTTTTATTTCATATGTTACTGGTATAAGCATTAGTGGTGTTGGGACATAAAAAGTAGATGAATGATAAACTGATAACTGATAACTAGAGGTTGTGTATAAGAAGTAATACCATTTTACAAGAACCATTGGTTCCTGTTTTATTGTACAGTATTTTTTGCTGTTTTTTTTACTCATGTTACTCATATCCAGTTTATGCAAGTACAGGTTCTTCATTCACGATGTGGCCTTGAGCGCAAGATATGTGGCAGCGGCATGATGCAGGGAATTCCTTATTGATTTTGAAGTTGGATATTTGTGATTTAGATATCAAACCTCAGACGATCATTAAAACAGTTCACAAACTAGAGAATGCAGCCAAAGATTAAGTAAAGAGAATATCTGTAAAGAGATAATCCTAAATAATGTGTGTTAAGCAACATCTCAGCAGAACGTCAAGTGAAGGGAGTGGAACTCTTCCCAGCGCACCTCTGTTTAACGCCCTCTAACTGAACTTTTTTAAAAACTGAAGTGGGTCTTGCTCTACACTATTTTATATGCATATATATATATATATATATATATATATATATATATATATATATATATATATAATAATAATAATAATATATAATAATAATAATAATAATAATAAATCAAGGAATGGATGATAATGTTCTAAACTTTCAATTTTATATTTTACAATATTTGTAGAAAGTTTTCATTATCAGCTTGACTCTATTTTTCTTTCTGAAAGCTGTTTTTTTTAATTGAATGAAATTAAAATGGCTCTTGCGTCACGATAACTGCGCTGATGCGCCTTAGAATGCTCCAAACTCATCAAATATGTGTTCTGTGAAGTTCTTTGTTTCTGAGTGGTTTAACTCATCAGAAAAGGAATACCAAAACCTTCCTGTTGAACCTGACATTCTTTTCACGTGTGGAGTTGACCATACGTGACTTGGAATCTATCCGGATGACCTCCCTCGCGGTCGCGTTGTTTCCCCTCACAGACCTGAATATTCGTTTAATGAACTGGAGCGTAAATATATGTCCACATACGTATGTGGAGGCATACCCAGGTGTTTAAAATCTCGAGAGGTGAGTTTGTTCCGCGTTTTGTTATTTTCTGTTCATATTGATGTGTATTTGACCCTTAACTAACAGATCTATGTGTCCATTGGCTTACTTAATTTATATTTTCTTTATTCGTATTGTAATGGTTTCATACCTTTCTTAAGGCGCCGATTTAGAAATCATCTTTTTTTTCATTTTCATGAGGGTGAATTCTGGTGTACGCTTTTTCGACCATTGTTCAATGACGATCTGGATAGAATTAATTTTATTACCTTCGTAACTTGCTGCCGAAATCGTGGCTGGGTGTGCAGCCGATGAGATTTTTTGCTTCAGTACAAAGACACTTGAACACATTCATGTTTTAAAATGTATTTTATCCTCAATGTAGTGCTGCCAATGTGACTAAACCCGCCTTCTAACTACCAAACCATCGGACAGCCACTACCGCCACGCCACACAATCCTTGGCCCTCAGTCACTGCCCAGCGCAGCCGCAGCGACGTCGAGCGACTGTTGCCCTTTATGTGACCGGCGTTGGAACAGCAGGTCGTTTTTCTCTCCCTCTGATCCGGAGACCCGTCTGCAAAAGGCATGTATAACGTGGCCTACGGAACTCCCGTTATGTGGGCCGGCAAGTCACCAAGGAGAATGTACGGATACGTGGGAGATATTTTTTTCATGATAAACCAGTGATAGCCTTCTCCTCCTTTTTCATTGTTTATTTTTTTTTTTCCGGCTCGTTCCCAAACTCACACTTGACTTTATACTAGAGTTCCTTAAACTGATACATATAAATATATATATATATATATATATATATATATATATATATATATATATATATATGTATATATATATGTATGTATATATATATTATATTATATGTATATATATATTATACTATATGTATATATATTATATTATATATACATTATATATTATATATTATATATATATATATATATATATATATATATATATATATATATATAATTTTATGTATATCTATTTATTATACATTATATATGTATATATCATGTATGTATATTATATATATATATATATATATATATATATATATATATATATATATATATATATATATATATATACAAATATATGTTAATATACATATATATACATATATGCATATACATATATATAATATAAAATTTATATATATATGTATGTATAAATATATATGGTATATATATGTATATATAATATATTATATATATATATATATATATATATATATATATAAGATATATATATATGTTTAGATATATAGGGTACAGTCGTTAAAAAAGTATATTTACTCATTTTGACTTAACAATATGATACGATGACGAAAACAGTTGGAGAAAGTGATGTGAGGTCAACTTGATATTGGTATCCCTGAGAGAGGCTTCATTTAGGAGGAGGAGGGCAGGGTCGGTATTGTCACCCCCCCCCCCCACCTCTCTTTTTTTGTTAATTACTAGATCCGGTTGTAGCTTAAAATGCCTTAACCCATTCCCGCCGGGCATGCCATACCATGCCCACTGTGAGATTACTTGTTAGACAGTTTTCACACGTAGATGGCTACACTTGTACTAAATCACCAATGAGCCACTTACGAGTACCGCCTGTCTCGCCCGTTCACCCTTTTCTTTGATTTACGAAATATTTTATTATATTATTTTGCTGTTACTAATGTTAAAAAACATTATAAAAATTATATAATGTTAATGATAAAAATAACACCATCGATATTCATGGCACTAGTGAAAAATACGTTTTTCCCGGTATTTCAAATCAGGCGCTAACAGAGCCATCTATGGGCAGACATTTAACAAAAAAGTATAGAAAATAGGCACAGCATTTTCACCATTTTTTGTTCATTTTTTCCCGGCGGCAATGGGTTAATAATTTTTTTTCTAGATTTTTATTCCCTGTTGTCCCTAGCTCGGCTATACTAATAAAGAGTAAGGTTTTAAAATACATGATACTATTAATAATTCTTGTTACCGCCACAACCTTGGCGAACAGAGGCAAGAATACGCAATCGCTCTCATGCTGTAATTGCTTGGGCACCGACGATATGAGGGTATGATCCTGGGGGGGGGGGGGTATCTACCAATGGCTGCCCAAACATTTTCTGTGTGACTGAGAACTGGC